ACAGATTAAATGACTTTGGTGAACCTTAAAAAAAAAATCCAACTGTGACTAACACCTAATATACTAGCTCATAATTCACAGTCTGCCTCTACCTATGTCCTAATGGGTGTGTAAGCTTGACCCAGCTTCTCAGGACCATTTTAATTGCTGCTTCTTTCGAGGTTAATATCTAATGATTTACACATTTCCATTGCATTTAATTATAAAAAATAAAAAATGCCTCCCATTGATATTTCAGTCCTTAATATAAAGTGTTTGTACCCAAGAATGAAGAGCTGAATTTGATTCTCAGAATTCACATTTTAAAAATCTAAGCGTGAAAGAGAAGTCCAGCTGAATGTGTCCCATCTTAACTGAGTGGAACCATTCCCTGAATAGGGGACCCTGGATTGTGTGAAGGGGAGAAAGTGAGCTGCATTCGTTGTTCTCTGTTCTGATGGTGGATACAATTTGACTAGATACTTCAAGCTCCTGCTGCATGAACTCCACACTGGGATGGACCCTCTAACTATTCACTAAAATAAATGCTCCCTTATATTGTTTAAAAAAAAAAAAGAAAAAAGAAAGAAATATACCAATGCACAGAATCAATAAACCAACAAATCCCAGAAAAAAAAACATATAGAGAAATTACTGACTACAAAAGACAAAGAGATCTTGGAAGTAAGAAAGATGAATTACCACAAAAGGAGCAGTCGTTAGATGCGCAGTTAACTTCTCAAAACCAACAACACAAGCCAGGTGACAGTGGATCAGTATCTTCAAGGTGTGGGAACAGTTCTCCACTTACCCTGTGCTTTCAGAAAATAATTTTCAAAAACAAGACAAAATAGGATGTTTTCAGAGTAAGATCTGAGCCAGTTTACCACTATCAGATGTTCCCTAACAGCCTAGAATGTGAGCATTGTCTATCCAGAAGTGAGTAGGCAAGCTCTAGGCAAATGTCTCCATGCTCCTTCTGATTGATCAATCACTGAAGTTGCATGCAGGCTCCTGGAGCA